AACTTTTCGGGGCTAGTTTTAGATCGTATACTAAATTCATTTTCTCGAGTATAGCCAATACAAGACTCGCTATATTGAAATTATATCTCCAGTCGTGTTCCGCTGCATTTGAATCGTATGGAAATCTATACCATAAAAATGGTTCACATAAAACCATATATTCAATTGGAAACGGCTTACGTGTGATGAAAGTTATGGTACCCCTCTCCAAACGTTAAATATTTGACTACATTACTCTCCCGGGGCTCTATTATTTCATCGTATGGTCTACAGTCAGGTTATATTTATTATAGTTAAAACTCAATTAAATATGAATTGTTTCCGGACCTTAATCCATGCATATGTGCCACAGAATTGATCAAAAATGTGGTGTGAAGTGTAAAAAGATATCGAAATGTACTGGCAACGAATGCATTGATGAAACTCTCGTCCCATAAAACCATTGGCACGACCACTGAGATTATGATTGCAATGAGTGTCTGTAATCACGAATACAGTAACATTCAAGTTATGACATCTAATTATAATTTCCAGTGATCGAAGTTATTACACGAGTTAATGTTCAAATTAATGATTTATGTTGTATATTCAATTCTACAAATTATATCATACCAAAGTGGTAATGTGTTTTCTTTGAAACATGACAATTGGATCATTTCTAAGGTCAGTCAGGTCAATCTGTTTGCTTTTCTCAATGAGCTTCGGGTGTTTGTGGTAAAATAGCCAACTTATGTGTGCGAATAGGAATCCCCGTTTGGAGTTGTGTGGGTCGGCGTCTGTTTCCGAGTACTTGTGATGCATTCGGTGGATACGACTCCAGAAGAATACACACCTTTGGATAGCAATGGTTTGTATTAACATAAGCACTATCTTTACAGAGGAATGGGCTTTGAATGAACGGTGAGACCACAGCCGGTGGGCACCCAATGTTACTCCCAAACCGGATAAGACGTGCAACACATACGTCCAGATGTAGGTCTTGTGGTGGAAACTTGTGAATTGACAAAACCAGCCATAGATGCCTATAATATGTATCAATAGGAACACTATTAGTGGCGGCCAAACAATCCTTTGCTTGTAAATGGGTTTGTCTTCAGATATTGTGTTCATTTTATTTTCAAAAATACAAAACTGGTTATAAAATTAAATGGTTGTTTAATCTGAAAGTCCTACAGTAGTATCATAAACATATTGTGATATTCGGATATACTATTAGTGATTTATTTGAACAGCTTTTGGTTGTTTGCTTATATAGTTAATATTAATGTATTTATTCAGAAGTAGATGTTGAATTGTAGAAGAATTATTAAATAAATAACTTATAATAATAATCAATGATTAATCAAATACTGTAATCAATAACATTTAGTGTATTAAGTGTGCGTGAAATTGATGTAAGACTATTGTTAAATAAGTTATAACATGATATTTTCAGAATAATTAATGATTCAGGACCTAAAATTTAAAAAGATGTTTACCATTAAACCTAGATTATATAATTATAAGTGATTATTAAAGGCATTTCCTTTTATTTTGCATAGACCTCAAAACACATTAATTAATAAGATATATTTATAATTGATGTTAAATTTAAATACAATTACATTAGCTTTATAATTTTCTAAAAACACGTGCATAGAAATAACCCAACAAATCTCAAAGACTTTAATTGAATTTATAATGATTTATGTTTTTGTGTTATAAAGTAAATATCTATTTTGATAACATTTATATTACAATTAAAACCATAACTGTTGGTACTCACTAGCTTTAAAATCCTAATAAGAAATACGATCTAGATTAGTGAGAGTGTGTAAGGATGAAAACATTTCAATTTTGATAAACTGTAAATATAAAATTACCTTTAATATACACACTTTAAATAGAGTTTAGAATAGTGAATAAAGCATCCAAGTCCAGTTAGTAAACTATTTGTTGCGATAGTCAAGAACTTCATTAGATTAAGTAAGCATACAAATCATTTAAAAAGGGTCATTTTAAGAAAGTTTTATTTTAATTATAAATAACTATTTAATGTGTTCGTAACTATTTTAATTATTTTAGAATTTTAAGCATAATTTGGGCATAATCTTGAGATTTTGAATTTGAAATATAGAAATATTTATTTTTATTGACTTATTAATAAAGCAAACTAAAATTGATTATAAATAATAATAGAAATAAGGTATAGCCTACCTATAGATACGTATTATAACTAGGAATGCAAAATATTGATAGAAATTGAGTTTTTATAACTGGGGCTAAGTGTATCTCTGTGATTCATAAAAAACACATTCATTAATTGAATTATTTTTTGATTTTCAAAAATATTAATTCTTTATAATATTTTTATATGAATATTCGTTTACAAAAAGTGAAATTATGGAAAACAGGAAAAATAAATAACTATTTAACCAACTATTTGACAACTATGCTAGTGACTATAAAGGTCTTTTTTACCACCTAAATTTGGATGATTTAATAATCAATAACAGAAAACTATAATCAAGTATTTGAGACAAAAATAATAGTATTAAATTATTTAATTTAAATTTTATATTTTATTAAAGAGCACTACATTACTGTATACAGAATAATGATATTTGTGAAAACTGTAAATTTTCAATACCCATACCTTTATCTTTAAACAGAAAATAATACTACTGTATTATACAAAATGTTTATTCTCTGTTAAATTCTGCCTTGGACCTCCCCTCTGGCTATCACTGTCTTACACTTTATTTATACATTTGTAGATAAATTTAATTATTATTCGTTTATAAATAATTAACTATATTTGCATACTATTCAAATGATTGATAGACTCGTTATATTACCTAATATATAACCTGATTATATTAATGGTTCAAATAATCCACCAACGTACTGTGCAATTAAACAAACTAAAATTATAAATTCAAAATAGCGTTCAAAAATTTATTTTATTATTTAAACTATATTTTTGTGACAAGCACAACTTTTGAATGAAATATATTTTAGATCTATAAGTTGATAGTTTAAAAACTTCAAATCTTGATCATTACAATTATAAAGACATGAATTTACTTCGGGAATATGAACGCAATTTTGATTATATTAAAGCTAGTAAGTGGATGGCGGATAACTGGCACATCTCAATCTACCTGTCCATCGCATATGTATGTGTATTATTTTTGCTTAAGTCTCAAATGCAAAACAGGAGAGCATTTGAAATAAACAAACTATTATTTGTATGGAATTTATTATTGTCTATATTCTCAACCATGGGGTCAATCAGGTAATCACTATTAGAAAAATTAAAAGTTGTAAAACATATTGCAAATTATATGCCAGTATGTATACTATACATTGTATAGTATTCATATTTAATATTAAATTTTATTCAATCTAAGAGCCATTGAAGAAGTTGGTTATGTGATGAGAAATCACGGTATTATAGCTTCGGTGTGTTATCAAAACAATTATACAGCCGGCGTTGGACTTTGGGCCATCCTATTTGCATTGTCTAAAGTACCGGAATTATTTGACACAATATTTTTGGTGTTGCGAAAAAAGCCGGTCATATTTCTGCACTGGTACCATCATATGACCGTGCTCATGTTATGCTGGTACGCGTACACACAAAATTCCAGCACCAAAAAATGGTTCGGCCTGGTTAACTACTCTATACACTCGTTTATGTACGCTTATTATGCCGTTCAGTCCATAGGCCTGAGAGTGCCCTCAACACTGTCTAAAGCTATAACAATGGCACAGATATTTCAAATGGTTTTCGGAGTTTTCATTAATTTGTTTTCACTTTTATATAAGTATTTTGATAATGATTGTGGTGTTAGCTATCAATTCATAGGCGCTTCCCTTGCTTTGTATGCAACATTATTTTATTTGTTTTATTTATTCTATACGAATCGATACAATAAGAGAAAAATTAATAAACAAGGATAATTACTCACGAGTCACCTTGGGAATAATAAATCATTTTTAAAGAGTAATTTATTAATAATTTTTTACTAAAATTAAAAATTAAATATAATTAATAATTTTTTATTTAAGTAAACATAATAATTATAGGTATAGATTTATATAAATTATCAAGAATAGATAATAAAATAGATCTTATACTTACGATTAATTTTCTACACTTTGATAATTATTTCAAATATCAGTAATAATATGTTAAAGGTTTTTTAAATTATTCCTATAAATAAAGACATGGCAGTGTTTGAAAAATAGTATTATATGTAAAGTTGTATTATAAAAATAGTATTATATAATATAGTAAAATAGTATTTGTAGTATTTTATATATTGATATAACTATGAAATTTCAAAACACTTCCATGTCTTAATTTATTTGTTATTGAATAACTTATTGTCTAATGTTTTTTAAGTCATTTTACTTAAGAACCCGTATATGAAATGAAATGTTATTACACACATTAAACAAAATAAACTAAAATAGAGAAAAATAAATTCATTACTTGAATATTCAGGGTTATTTTATATAAAGACAAACTTAACTACATCACTTAATGTACTTAATATACTTGTTATAGCAATTAATCAAATGTATAGTAGTTAAAAATTTGTTAAAAATTGATTTTAATTTAAATTAAATTGAATGCGTGAATACAAATAACAAACCCAGAAAAAGCTTGAATTATATATTAAGCCAAATAAACTATCAAGGTAGTTAGTCGTAGGAATCTTGACATTTAATTGCTTATTCAAACTGACCAAGTTCTTTTTCTTAGCCACGTAGTTTTTAGGTGCAAACTTCAGGTCAGATACTAATCCCATTTTCTCGAGTATAGCTAACAAAAGGCCGGGTATATTGAAATTATATCTCCAGTCGTGTTCCGATGCATTGGAATCGTAGGGAAAACTATATAAAT